TGTCCACTAGGGGAAAGAAAATAAAAATTTGCCAAATACCTAAATAAATATTTATGTGTAACTACTGTTTAATTGTCAAAATTGTCATTAAATGCAAATTTTACAGATTCCACAAACACTCTCTCATCCTTGTTCATATTGCAGAGCTTCTTCCCACAAGGGAGAAAAAAAAGACTTTGTGGGAGAAATTACAGAACTGCATTTAATAAGAAAATACAATGAGTTCTACAAAGAATGTGTGTGTCTGAGGAGGTCAGAGATGACTTCTGCTGCAGGAATATATGACTGAGCTAAAATCTGAAAGTCACACAGAGGGCAAAGGAGCTTTCCAGGCACAGAGAGGAGCCAATGCCTGGAAAACAACAGGGGAAAAAAAGGTCAAAGTGGTCAGAGCCAAGAGGCAGGGCTGGTGAAGGGTCTGGAGGGAAGCTTGGGGCAGAGACTGGAAACAGACAGTGAAACCCATCTATACTCATCAATTATTGCCACTCTCATAACTCAACAGAAAAGTTCCTCTGTGCAGTGGATGGTGATTAGCACACAAACTCATAACTGGTCAAAGTGTGGAGAGTAAGTGTCAGTGGTGTGCTCAGACACAAACAAAACGTCTAGATTGCTCTCCCCTCCCACACACACAGACAGACAGCAAGGGTCAGACACCGTAGAAAAGAGGAGGCAGAAAGACGGACCAGAGATAAGTCACATCTTCGGGACCTGACAGGACCAGTGCATTCGTGAGCTCACAGCAGCTTGGTTTGCCTGCACAGGAGACGTAGAGCATCAAGCCAATCCACATTCCAGCACTGAGTGGGACGATGTACCTCCACACTTAGCTGAGGAGCTATGGACAGTTGAGGACTCCTCAGGAAGAGGAGTCAGTTTTCTTTAAGGGCCTGGCTCCCGGTGGGTAGACTGTGCTCCAGTGCTTGGCCCTCACTTAGGAGTACATGAGCCCCACACATTGGAGGTGATAGGCTATTTTAAGGGAGGACATCAATGTGAGAGGTCAGGGTAGATCTAGGAGGAGCTGGGATGAAGGAGATCAAAATACCTGGTGTGAAATTCTTGAAGATTTGATGAAAATATTGTACACAGAGGGATAGTAGGACACAGGTGTAATGAGGGGGAAATAGGAAAAATAGGGGGACATTTGAACTGTGGAGAGGAGAGGGATAAATAGCACAAAATATTTGAAAAAGCTATAGAGAAGCATTATTTTATGTTAACTTCAAATTTATATGTAATACATGTAACACTTATCATTTAAATGAAGTTATACCATTAACAGTAATAATGTTCTCCCCAAGAGCTACAGACTATCTAACAAACCCAAGTGCAGACATGGAAAACTTCCCTTCAAGTTGTTGGTCAGGGTAGTCAAGAGACTACTAAAAACAGTACAAGCTATTACCGTTGCCCTTGGTTTCATCCCAAAACTTGAAGGTAAAACCCTGTTGCTGAAAACACTGCCTACTTCAAACACAGGAGACAAAGTGGATATGATACAGAAGCTTCTTCCCTGAGGAATGACTCCCATGGTATTGGAAAGTGCTATGTATCTACCAAGACAGAACAACATTCCTACCCGATGTAAAGCCTACGTGCCACCACAGAGGCCAAAGGTCCAAGAGTGACACATCTCAGGGGTGAACAACAGGCATCTAATTGGACTTACAGCCTAGTCAATAAAAGAGAATCCATGCTGGGATTGTAAACGTACTCAACTACCCAGGGCTGGTCAACTACTGGACTCTAAGAGAGAACCTACTGCTGTTACTTTCCTAAACCCTATAAAATATCTAACTGCATTCTAATTACTACCCTTATATCCACAGATAACTGGAGCTTTCACCTTTCATCAGAGAAGCTTCATTTTGCAGCAGGTAGGGAACATTAAGAAATCAACAACTGGGCCAGGCGGTGGTGGTGCACGCCTTTAATCCCAGCACTCGGGAGGCAGAGGCAGGTGGATCTCTGTGAGTTCAAGGCCAGCCTGGACTACCAAGTGAGTCCCAGGAAAGGCGCAAAGCTACACAGAGAAACCCTGTCTCGAAAAACAAACAAAACAAAACAAAAGAAATCAACAACTGATTAAGATGTAGAGAACTCACAGGTCATGAGGTTCCGACTCCAGTAGATAGATGTAAAATATAACCCTACACTTAAGGCTCCAGGTACATTGAGGAAGAGGGGGTGAAGAGACTGTAAGAGCCAGAAGACCAGGACATCTGCTACAAAATATTTTTTTCCTTATATGACAAGGAAGCTACTACACCTATGAAATCTCAATAATATTGTTGACTGAAGAAGACCTGCATAATGATAACACCAATTGCCAGGCCAACCCGAATGGGGAAATCTCAAGGCTCCCCCCTCAGAAGAGGTAGAGGCAGCCAAGGATTGCAGAGAGAAGGAGAAATCTGTCTTCTCCAGGGATGAACCCCCTGATAGGTTATCCAGTGCCAAGTCTTTAGCCTTAAACACATATACATATGAGTGACACTAAATAGATTCAGTATGGTATCGGGGGAGTGTGGAAGCAGGGCATGGGGGGTTGTTGAAGTAGGAAGATGGTTGGATATAAATACCATAAATACAATACTTACATTTATGAATTGCTAAATAAATTAAATTGAATTAAAAATTAATTGAATTAAATTTAAAAATTATCTACATCAAGCAATGTGGTTATATCTCAAAGCAAGCAGCTGTTGAAAGTCCCAGACAAGCAGCAATGCTCAGAGTTGCTGTTGAAAGCTGACATTTGTTTGATCTTATAAGTGAGAATAGATGGATAAGTCAGTGTGAGGAGAACAATTAGAGGATGCTCTGGTGTCTTGAGAGAAGTAAAAAAGACAGATGGTGATTAGCTCGGGTAGCACTTTCCGCTCACAGCAGGACTGAGTCATAGTGGACAATGTTCCCCCTCAAGCAGCTGAGCTCATTTCTTCCTGACTGCAATCCTGCAAGATCAGGTCTTTATCCTCCATTTTATTTTTTTGAGACAAAGAAAAGTGAGACTCAGAAAGTCTTATTAACTCACTGCCAATCTCAGTGGCAAAACCTGACAAAGTTGAAATTTAAAGTTAAATCTCTCACATTTAAAAACAGATGGCTTTTAGTGTCCAATCACTACAGTGTGAGCCTACTTGAAGAAATGTTCATGAGGGAGTGTAAGCTTAAATCTGGAAATCTAAAGCCAATCCCCCATGGGAGACCTTCAGCCCTGGTCTTGGGGTTGTCTGCTCTCTTCAGCAGTGAGATGAATTTTCTCTCATTTTTATTTTCTGCATGGATCATTTTCTTCCCATAGCTTTTGCCAAAAATCTCACTGACTTCCAGCTTCCCTTTATCCCCAGCCTTGCTTTTTTCTAAGTTCCTATATTATGTCTAGTCTCACAGACCATTGTAGCAATGATCATATGCAGGATGTCCCTGTATTTTCTCCTTTCTCATACTTTATTTTCTGTAATATGAAATTTCATATAGTAGCCAATGTCTTCAAAATGTCCTTCACACACTAATGTCTGCTTGTAAATGAGCTAAGATGCAGAAATGTCTAATTATGACTCATGGTAGGTCTTACTGTTGGCTACCAGCTCAACTGTGCACCTCTCTATCTATGCAGTGGAGTCTCATTATACATGCACAGAACCTAGGCAATTCAACTTTGTGTTCTTGTCAGAAAAAAAAGTGATTTAAACAGAGGAGGCTTGCTGGCCGGGTTGTGGTGGGGAATGCTTTAATCTCAACATTTGGGAGGCAGAGGCAGGTGGATCTCTGTGAGTTCAAGGCCAGCCTGGTCTGCAAATTAAGTTCCAGGACAACCAGACCCATTACACAGAGAAACTCTGTCTTGAAAAACAAAACTAATGAACAAAAAGAATAGAAGGAGGAGGAGGAGGAGAAGGAGGAGGAGGAGGAGGAGGAGACTGTCACGGTCACATCTGCCATTCCAGTCAGTGCACTCATAAGAAAAGAGGTGAATCTGTTGTTGTCACAGCAGATTTAAATTCTTAAGGACCCACCTCAGATGAGTAATTTTCAAAGAAATCATTATTATTGCTGTTTAAAGGTGACTATTTTAGAGACATAACATCCTCTAACTTGGCTGATTATTTTTCTAAATCCTCAACTTAAGAAATGCATCTCTCCCAAGCCAGGGGATATAGGTCTATGGACAGCTGGAGAGAAAGTGAGATGTTATCCCCGACAGTCTAAGCTCATGAAACTTTAACCCTACATTTTCTTCTGGGTTCTAGGCCCTAAGCCACATATGTTCTCAGAGTCGTATGATTTTTAAAGTATATTCTTTCGTTAGTTATTCCATGAACATGAACAGAAATCGGAGAATGGAAAGAGCTGATAAATATACATTCCCAACAAATGAGGCCAAGGTGGCAACCATTAGGCACCCTAAAGTATAAAAACAAACACACAAACAAACAAAAAACCCTACAATATATATTGGGATATTATAAGCTGAATTTTTAAGTCAGCAATTATTGGAGATTTTGTAATCAACTTTAACTTCAAAGGGAAAAAAACTCCCCCATGATCACATGCACTTTCCTAGATCTTATTTGTTATATGGGCATATTTTAGGAGAAGGTTATGTCTGAACACAGTGAGATCATTCAGAACTGGTCCATAGCCTCCTGGGCATGTGCACTAACTCTGGCCACCTGGCTCTCTTAGCATTTCGTCCCTGTCATCAATATAAAGTTGGAAATGAACTTGGCTGAAGATACCTATCTACACAGTTAACTCTATGCAAACAATTGCTAGACTGTGCAACCTTTAGCTCTTCAAAATCTCTAAGAGTGCCTGACTGAGAAGAAGTCCTCCACAAGCACTGCCCTGGTGCAAGAATCACTGAACTTCTACATCTGTGTCTGGGACCAATTTCGGGAGATGAGGTAGTAAGGAAAGAAAGGTAATATCTGCTAGGTCACACTGGTGTCAAGGGCATTCCATTCTGCACCTTGCCCGGCTCTTACCTATCCAGTGAGATGCAGCACAGGTGAAAAATCGATGCTGTTGTGAGTAGGACATCCAGAGAGGTCCGGACCAGGCAAAACGTACGCTCATAAATCAAGGTGTCTTGAACCAGCTCAATGGCACCAAAGGGCATCACCAGCACCGAAACCAGCAGATCAGCAAAGGCAAGGGACACAATGAAATAATTGGTTTTTATTTTCCTGTAAGTGAAAAGGTACAAGCAAGGTGGCCAGGGGAGGATGTGGAAAGGAATGGGGGGAAGAATTGGGGGAAATGGAAGGAAGGAAAGAAGGGAGGTAGAAAAGGAAAGAAAAGTCACACATTAAAAATAAGCCGCAAGACTCAGTTTCCCCTCGTGCACCACGGCCAAGGAGATTCTCCATGGTCCAGCCTCTTCCGACTTCTCCAGACTCATTTCACACCCAAAGACATCTTTTCCTCAGCTTTCTGGCTCTTCTGGCCTTAGCAGAGACTGCCAGTGTATTGGGAACCATTCCGAGGCTCCACACAGTCGAGTAGGCTCTTTCCCCCCTACTCTAGTCACCGCCCACCCTGGCTCTGGTCCTGGCTTAGGCCCTCCCAGAGAGCCCTCTCAAGATGCTGTCCTCACAGACAGTGTCAAGCTACCACCTGCAGCTCCTAGGGTGACCTCTTGTGTACCCCCTACATGTGTGACCCCAGGCAAAACTCTGCGTTGCACCTTCTTTGCCTCGTCACTGGTTCAGGGCGTGTCCTGCTTAGAGAGGCACTACCTTTAGCTCATCTCTCCCTTCATGGGCCAATGCGCCTTAGTCCAGGCTACACACTGGAAATACCTGGTGGATTTTAGCAAACATCAGTGCCCAGGGTTCGACCCAGATCAATTAGACAAAAACCATGGGTAGATAGCATTCTCCTCCACCGAAGATTGCTACATAAGATACAGGATGGCCAATTAAACTTGGGTTTTTAATGGTGAATTACTTTTTAAATATAAATATTTCCACAGTATTGCACAGGACATGCCAACATCATGCAACAGTATTTTGAAAAATATCTCAGATGATTGTAAATATAGCCAGAGTTGACATTGGTGATGTACAAAATGTGGTAGATCCAGTGTTTATTCCCCCATATTAATCATTAGTTTCCCATGCCTTCCCTGAACCATTGGTAGCAGGAGGAGATATATACTGACCACATATTGAATATATATATATATATATATATATATATATATATATATATATATATATATATATATATATGCCACAGTTATTTAAACAAATGCAACATGGCACAGTTAAACAGACAGGATGGAATTAACCCAGGGTGCTCTTATGGTTATGTTAGTGTTGGGTTTGAATGATTATGTGTGATCCCTTTTCTATTTTTCAAAATCTATTCCCATGCATGTGATAAACCAAAATAGAAATTATTCAGAGCCAACTGAAGGAAGATCCCTCTGACACCCATGTTTCCTATGAGGGTCCCTTGTACTGCTCACCTGAGCTGCCTGTCCCTGCACACAGCTACCATCACCAGCAGGTTGCCCAGGATGGCCATCAGGATAACCACTGAGAGGAATGTTAGCAGCGTGACCTTCTTCACGGACTGGAAACCCTCCTTGGAACTGGAGGTTAAGAGGAAAACAAGACACAAAAATGTGAGGGAGCCTCAATGACACTGGAAAGGAATTCATTTGCTCCCCTTCAATATTCAGGAAGTTCACATTACCATCAATCGACAGTAGTAACCTGTTTTATGCACCTAAACTTGCCAAGGTCTGCCTCACTTGTTGGGCTTCTCCAGATGACGGGAGCATATGAGAGGAGGTCTGGGAAGGTGAATCACTAGCCTCGACTGCATGACTTTATTTTGTTTTGTTTTTTTCCTTCAGAGATTCACCTTGTCGAGTACTCAGGTATGGACTTGGTTGATTTCTGTTTTGCATACCTGCTTCATCTACAGTGCAAGCACTATAACACAAGGACCTCAGTTGTTTTATTCATTGATGTGTGTTCAATGCATCATTGATCAGATGAAGGAGAAGATGGCCAATTCATGAATGGTAGTAACTGAAACCAAGGTCTGCATGAACACAAGGACCTACTCCTTTCTGTATCCCAGTCTAGCTTAAGCAAAAGCCGTGGTTTATAGATGGGTTGTCTTGGGAGGGACAGCCATACTCCAAAGGTGTTCTTGTGACAATTCACAAATGAACTCAGGTTCTGTGAAGCCCACAGGACAAGAAGCTCAGGGACATCTTCTACTTCATGACTGTGCTGGCTTCACTGTCACCTCATGTCACTTTGACATTTCAAATCCATGGTCTTGTCCATTTCAGCACCTGATTAGACTCTACAAATTCTCTCTTGCCAGTGTAAGCTCAGAATTTTGTTTTATTAACTTGAAGTGAGTGCTCCCTCTCGATGAAGGCACAATATTTGCAGGTTGCTCAGAAACTGCAGGAAACAATTATGTTCATGTCACAAAACATTCTTTTTAAGAAGCTTGAAAAGGTTTTTAAACTGTTGGACATGAACTGTATACATCAGCACAGAAAACTGGAGGAAGAAAAGTTGTTGGGATAAGTTAGTGTCTGCTTTGAGAGAGGACACTTCTCAACACAACATATGGAACACAAGGTCCCTAGAACCAAGAACATCCCATCTTTTTTTAAAATTTTTATTTTATAATTTAATTTAATTTTACATATCAGCCATGAATTCCCTTGTTCTCCCCCTTCCTCACTCCCTGTCCCCACCTTCCCCCTCAGCCCACACCCCACTCCCATCTCCTCCAGGGCAAAGACTCCCCTGGGGATTGAGTTCAACCTGGTAGATTCAGTCCAGGCAAGTCCAGTCCCCTCCTCCCAGCTGAGCCAAGTGTGCCTGCATAGGCCCCAGGTTCCAAAGAGCCAACTCATGCACTAAGGGCAGGTCCTTGTCCCACTGCCTGGCTGCCTCCCCAACAGATCAAGCCAATCAACTGTCTCACTTATCCAGAGGGCCTGATCCAGTTGGGGGCTCCTAAGCTATTGGTTCATAGTTCATGTATTTCCATTCATTTGGCTATTTGTCCCTGTGCTTTTTCCAACCTTGATCTCAACAATTCTCGCTTATACAAACCCTCCTCTTTCTTGCCAATTGGACTCCTGGAACTCCACTTGGGTTCATGGATCTCTGCATCTGGTTCCCTCTGTTGTTGGATGAGGTTTCTAGCACGACAGTTAGGGTGTTTGGCCATCCTATCACCAGAGTAGGTCAGTTCAGGCTGTCTCTCGACCATTGCTAGTAGTCTATTGTGGGGGTATCTTTGTGGATTTCTGTGGACCTCTCTAGTACTTTGCTTCTTCCTATTGTCATGTGGTCTTCATTTATCATGGTCTCTTATTCCTTGTTCTCCCTCTCTGTTCTTGATCCAGCTGGGATCTCCTGCTCCTCTCTTTCCCATGACGTCCCACTCACGTCCAGGTTAGAACATCCCCTCTTTACTGCACTTCTTTGATGGGAAAATTAAGATGGGCATTGACCCCTAATATTCAGAGTTAGCTTAGTTCTAAATTTGACCGTGTTCACAATGTCTTCCTCTAGGCAAGTCCAGAAGAAAGTATGCCAATAGGGATAAGAAATGGTCCTTAGCCATCTGGGGACCATGGCAGCCCCTTCGCTCTGCTGAGAACTCTTTCTTTATATTGACTAGAATGTTGAAAGCTGGAGTTCACACAAAAAGGATTGTTCACCTAAATAACTCTTCCATTCTGAAGCTATGGCCTTCAAGAGCACAAACACTGGATAGGGAAGATTTAATTAAATAAAAACACAGTGATTTGCTCATGAAAACTAATTTTATCTTAAGCCATGTTGATGGAGAGGTAAAGTGCCTAATGAAGAAAGTGATAATGTTTTATTTTCTACATACTCTTTTGAGGCTCTAACTCAAAGATTCAGAGACCCTCTGAACCATCTTCCTCCTCTAGGGCTTGTATTTTATGCTCATTATTTTTTATAATTGAAAAATGTTTATTCTGTTTATGTGCACAAGTACTTTGCCTGCATATATATATATATATATATATATATATATATATATATATATATATATATATATATATATATGTACCCATGTGTGTTTGGTGCCCATAGAGGTCAAAAGAGGGTGTCAGATCCCCTGGAACTGAAGTTACAGATGGTTTATGAGCTATCATATATAGATGCTCGGAATCAAACCCAAGTCCTCTGGAAGAACAACAGTGCTTTTATCCACTGTGCCGACTCTTTCGTGCTGATACCCATTTTCTATAAAACGTGCTTTCGGTGTTTGGCTGATTCTTATCATTCTTGTCTGATTAAGTTCAACCCTTAGGCCATGTCCAGTAGCCAACAAACATTTCCCATCTTCACAGGGTTGACTACCTGAAATGACTGTTTAAGTTGTTTTGTAACTTGACCTCACGGATTGTCTTTGGTTCTATTTTCACTGTCATTTCCAGTGCCAGTGAAGTGTCTAGTCTACAGTGTGTGGTGTGTGGGTATGTGCAGTGCACAACAAGTACTTGCTAGCTTGCTGACTGAGTCACAGACATGTACTATTCCACAAAGGGAGGCATATTCTTCACTGTATTTCAAAGCATTCTTTAAAAATATACAGGAGTATCTAAAGAAGAGAAGATCCAGGGACAAAATTTTTTAGAAGATATTTTTTAACTATCAAAAGGCATATGCCATTTGAAATAAGGGTAGATTAACACATTTATTCATTCAACTCTAGGATAGGCTTAGTGTGTCTACAAGAAAAACAGAACAGAAAGTAAACAAACCATCAGATATGTCAGAAAATACGTAGTGTTAGCTCCAAAAGGATAGGGAGATCAGGACTGTCTATGGGGGTTAGAATGCTTTGTGTTTGGGGATGTGTGTGGAGGCGCACTCTCCTATGTGGGCATGTGTGGAGCTCAGAGGTTGTTTCCCCATGTTATCTTCATTTTATTTTATTTCATTTATTTATTTTAATTTTTTGGCTGAGCCAGCCTGCAGCTTCCTTGGGACATGTCCTCACAGCACCACTTCCCGCTTCCAACATCACTTCCGGCTTCCAACTTCCAGTTTCAGGACCCGCCCTCTTCTGAGTAGGACCTCCTGAGTCTTATTTTATTTCTAGGACAGAGTCTAATGCTAACTTGGAGCTTGTCATTTGGCTAGATTGGTTGGCCAGGGAACCAAAGGAATCCACCTGTCTTTGTCCTCCAGTCATAGGTAATACCACCAACCCCAGCATTTACCAGGTGAGTGTGTGTGTGTGTGTGCTCCCACACCTATACCTGCTTGTATATAAACACACACACACACACACACACACACACACACACACACACACACACACCACACCACACCAAAAATATTTTTAAGATGTTGGTGGTATGGCTCCATCTTGTATGCAGCTGAATGTCAGAACTTTTGAAGCTCCCAAGTATAACTTATTTATAATCAAGGGCTCTCACTGAAGAAGACTGTTAAATATTAATAAGAACCTTCTCGTTGCCAGAGAGAATCTTCAATGACTTCCTGGAATTGTTTTGATTTTCTAATGCAAAAACTATTTAGGAATGCCTGGCTCCTATACAATAAAAGGAGTTCTGGATGTATTACGATCCCTGATTTCCAGCTGTACTACAGAGCTATAGTAATAAAAACTGCATGGTATTGGCATAAAAACAGACACATTGATCACTGGAATCAAATCAAAGACCATGACATAAATTCATATACTTATGAATAGCCAATTTTTATAAAGAAGCCATAAATAAACAATGGGGGAAAAGAATCTTTAACAAATGGTCCTGGTATAACTGAATGTCAGTATGTAGACCCATATCCATCACCCTGCACAAAACTCAAGTCCAAGTGGATCAAAGTGGACCTTAACATAAAACCAGATACAGTGAACCTGATAGAAGAGAAAGTGGGGAATAGCCTTGAATGCATTGGCACAAGAGATACCTTCCTGAACAGAACATCGGTAGCACAGGCACTAAGATCAATGATTAATAAATGGAACTTCTTGAAACTGAAAAGCTTCTGTAGGTAAAGGATACCACAATAGTGCAAAATGGCAGTCCACAGAATGGGAAAAGATTTTCACTGACTACACATCAAACAGGGGACTAATATACAAAATATATAAAGAACTCAAGAAACCAGACATCAACAAACCAAATAATTAGGTAAAAATGGGGTGCAGATGTAACAGAGAATTTTCAACAGAGGAATCTCAAATAGCTAAGAAACACTTAAAGAAGTGTTCAACACCCTTAACCATCAGGGAAATGCAAATCAAAACAACTTTGAGATTTCATCTTACACCTGCCAGAATGGCTATGATCAAAAACACAAGTGACAGCTCATGCTGTAAAGGATGTGGAGCAAGGGGAACACTCCTCCACTGCTGGTGTTAGTACAAACTTGTACAGCCACTTTGGAAATAAATATAGTGGTTTCTCAGAAAATTGGAAATTGATCTCAATCAAGACCCAGCTATACCACTCCTGGGTATATACCCAAAGGATGCTCCATCCTGTCACAAGGATAGTTGCTTAATTGTGTTCATAGTATCTTTATCCATAATAACCAG